TTCCATTCCCGAGGCTCACAACCATCTGTAACTCCGGTTAAAGGGAATAGGATGCCCCTTTCTGACCTCTGTGGGCACCAGGCATACAGTCTGTGCAGAGATATACATGCAAGTAAAACACTCATACACAAAAAACTAATCAAAGAAAAAAGTAAACTATTGTCTTTCCTCAGATGAGCACATAAGCCATCTTTGCATTTTCTGTGTTGGTGTCCCCTTCTCCTCTGCTTTCACTAGTCTGTGATATATCACCCAGGGAGGGTCTACACACACACACACACACACACACACACACACACACACACACACACACACGAGAGAGAGAGAGAGAGAGAGAGAGAGAGAGAGAGAGAGAGAGAGAGAGAGAAGAAAGAAAAGATAAGCAGTTTTCCAAAGTAACACACCATTATAACCGAAGGCCTTGGCAGGTTTTGAGTACATGATGCTCAGTCATTCATGGTTGACAGGAAATCTGTGAAACAAAAATGACAATTGTTTCATGCGAATATTCAAGCACTCACACAAGTACTGAAAATAACACAATGCGGACCAGCAACAGTGAGGACAGAGAGACAGGCAGTGTGTATCTGTGATTCCCACTCTTTAAGTTGTGAGATGGAAAGCGAAGACAGGAGAACCCCCTGGAATCCTACAGGGGAACTAGTCTGGAGTATGTGGTACTGTAGAATCAAGAAGAGAAGACCCTGTCTAGCCACAGAAAGGTGAACATGGTATGTACTCACTCATATATGGATATTAGACATAGAGCAAAGGTTTACCAGAATACAATCCACACCTCCAGAGAAGCTAGGAAACAAGGAGGACCCTAAGAGAAATATACATAGTCCCCTGGTGAAGGGGAAAGGGACAAGAGCCCCTGAACAAATTGGGAGCAGAGGGGGAGGTGGGAAGGAGGTAGGAGAAAGGGGAGGAGGGAAGAGGAGGGGGAGGAGAACATGAAGGATCATGAAGATTGAATAGAGGAGGGCATGAAAAGAGACACATCAATAGAGGGTGCCATTATAGGTTTAAAGAGGATGGCCCCAACTAGGATTCTAAGCAAAAGTGGAGCGGCTACTTTAACTGCCCTTCCCTTATGAGAATAATGACTACCTTAAATGTCATCCTAGAGCCTTCATCTAGTAGCAGATGGAAACAGAGGCAGAGATTCACAGCCAAGCACTGAGCTGAATTCCTGGAATCCAGTTTCAGAGAGGAGAACAAAGGGGTCAAGACCATGCTGGGAAAACCCATAGAAACAGCTGACCTGAGCAAGAGGGAGCTCAGGGACCCCAGTGTGACAGCTGGGGAACCAACATAGGACCAAACTAGGCCCGTGGACATGGGTGTCAGTTAGGAAGACTGGGCAGTCTATGGGACCTCTGGCAGTGGAACCAGGATGTATCCCTAGTACACGAACAGACTTCAGGAGCCCATTCCCAATGGAGGGAAACTCCCCTAGCCTGGAGACACTAGGCCCTCCCCAAATGACTTGACAGATTTTGATGATCTCTCATGGAAGGCCTTACCCTTCCTGGGGAATGGATGGGGAATGGAGGATGTGATAGAGGGGGCTGATGGAGGGCATGGGAGGGACAGGGAACTGGAATTGATATGTAAAATAAGAAAAAATATTAAATAATAAAAAATAATGTAAAAAAGAGAAGACTCTGCCTCAACAATGTAGAAGGCTCCCAAAAGTTGTCCTCTGACCTCCAGACACATGCAATGAACAAATGTGTGTGAACACAGACACACAAGTCATTACAAACCCAATAATAATAATAAAGAAAACTACCCCATGAATTTCCACATGCTTCTTCACAGATTCAACAATGAAGACATTGGCTAAGGATGCATTGGATAGAGTATACCTAGCATACGATAGGCTCCAGGTTCCATTCCCAACATCACCTGAAATGGGGTTCTGGAGACACACAAACCTGTAATGTAATCCTTACCACTCTAGAGATGGAAGCTGGAGGATCAGGGATTGAAGCTCATCCTCAGCCTGGGGCCGTTCAGAGCCTGCCTGGACTGCCTAGAGCCCACCCTATAACAAAAGTTAGACCATTCCTCTTAAAATAAAAATGTAAAAGGATTATTATTACATTTGCATTCTTTCTGCCATTTTTTTGTTTACACCCTAAAACATTTAAAGCAAGTTCCAAGCAGAATGTGGTGGTGGTGTAAATCTGTAATGCACTTGGGAGGTGGAGGCAGGAGGATGAGAATTCAAGATCATCGATTGGAGCCAGGCTGGACTTCATGATACCCTGTCAAGAGAAATTTCAGCCTGCCATTTTCTCCCAACTTCTTCCTCTTTTGTCTCTTATGTCTGAGAATGTCTTCTTATATAAACTGCATGGCACTTACACCCTTAACCTTAATAATTCTTTGATGTCTGATACTAGTTCCTTACCAAACTATCCCATTGTCTCAAACATCTTTTTGCTTAGAATGGGTTGTTTAAGCAAAAGTACAAGGTGGCAAGCTATAGTTTACAGTTGTGTCTCTTATTAACACCAAGTTTGGGGCATTATCCTGTGCCCCTGCCCTCTGCTATGCTCTTGATTTTCTCTTTGAAAGGGGTCTGTGGATGATACTTATGATTCTAGTACTGGAGGGTGAGGTGGGTGGGTGACAAACCTGGGTGGCAAAGGACACCCTGTTGTCTCAAAGACAAGCAAACATCAGGCTGATTTTCTTATAGACTAAACCATGCCCTGAATTTGCCTCTTTGCTTCCTCTAAGTTGCTTAATGGTCCCTTTGTGTCCCAAACCATGTTTTTTGATTGGATGCTGTTAGCTTTCTGCATTTAGCTCTTTCTAAAAATGGGAAGAACCTCTATTGCAGCCAGAGCACTTGCTGCCATGTGAACTTAAATACGGTGTTATCCTCTCTGGGTTGGGTTTGTTGGTATTCACCTGAGTCAATCAGCAGCTGATGGGTTCGTCAAGAGGACTAAACAAGAATCTTGTAAGCAACTGTATCTCCTGGCATGGTGCCTGTGGACACTGATGCTTCACAGAGTGATGGTCACCTGCTTCCTCCCTTCCACTTCACCTCAATAATGTAACTGAGGGAGCAATGACTATGTGATTGCATTGGTATTTTTCTATCCTATCCATGTGACAATGATACCACTCTGCTCTTTTCAAACTTCTCTCAGCAATATGGTTACTGACAATAAGTCAGTGACCCGAGGGTGATAAGCATAGGGTGTAGCAGGCTTTTTCTTTTAAGCCACTAACAAGCTCCCAAATCATAGAGACTTATTATTAGCTATGAATGCTTGGCCTAGCTGAAGCTCATTTCTGGTGAGCTGTTTTAACTTAAACGAATCTGTTCCTCTTTATCTACCTTTTGCACTGGAGCTTTTTACTTTTGTTTCCTTCTGTGTATCTTACTTTCACTGTGCCTTGTGTCAGTCTGGCTGGCTGCTGCCTGGTTTCTTGCCCTGGTGCATCCCTCTCTTTCTCCCTTGTTCTCTTCTTCTTTCTTCTTGTTCTTTTCTATTTATTCTCCTTGCCTGCCAGCCCCACCTATCCTTCTCCTGTCTAGCTATTAGTCATTCAGCTTTTTATTAGACAAATCAGGGGCCTTAGGCAGGCAAGGTGAAATAATTGTGACACATCTTTACATAATTAAACACATCCTTACATGGTTAAACAAATGCAAGATAAACAAATGTAAGGAACAATCTTTTCATAGTTAAAATAATATTCCACAACACAAGGGCTGTCTGCCTCAGAACCACCCACAGAATGAGTTTAAAGGTGTCTTTGTGGGCTCTGCCTCAGATCAGGTAAATATTAAGGGAGACTCAGAATCTGCATCACCTGTGAGACACAGGTTGGGAATCTATGAAACAGCCTGGAAACTGTGGAGGTTGTGAGCTTGGGCTTGAGTTGCAAAGTCACTAAATAGGCTGCAGTAAGTTACTTGGGATGTAGCCTGTATACTATAGGATTACACAATGACTGATGTTACTTTCACTAACCACTCCTCTCAGACATACATACCAATGCCATTTGCCTTACTAACTGAAGCAGTTACTTCCTCCCCTCTCATGGTGGTACTGAGGACTGCAGGCAGGGCTTAGGCTCTACGATGCAAGCACTCTACCACCGAACTGCATCCCCAGCTTTAAGATTTCATGATGCTTCTCTCTCCCTGCCCCTCTCCGCCCGTTAGTTCCCTGTATTATACAGTCAGCTTTGCAGTTAGTGGGTTCCCATCTGTTTTAGTTTGGGTTTTTATTGCTGTGAAGAGACACTATGACCATGGCAACCCCTTAAAGCCCATCCCCACAGTGACACACTTCCTCCAACATGGCCACAGTTCCTAATAGTGGTACCCACTTTGGGGGTCATTTTCTTTCAAACCACCACAGTATCCATAGAGCATTCTGGATAAACTCATTCTGAAAACAAACCAGGGTGGTCAGATGTCAGGAGAGGAGGGGATGACTTTTAACAGTGTTACCGTGTGCTGTTCCGGTAGTCTTTCTACACCTGGGCGATGCAAGATTGTTAGGGTAGAGGCTGAGGTCAAACCTCCTGGGAAAAGGGCTTCAAGAAGTTGGAAGGAAATCCAGTGAGGGCACTGTGGCCTGCTAGCCATCACTGTGTGACAGGACAGAGAGACAAAGGAGACAATGACAGAGAATACTGCACTGCCTCTGCCAGGTCAGAGACTTCTTTGGGTGTACAGCAACCACAAAGAAGGCTGCCTTGTACACTGGTCAGCAGGTTCTGAGGCCTAGAATGGGCAGAACGGCCCATTTATTTCCAATGTATGATCCCTAATACGTGGATCTGCAGTGACAAAATATAAAATTTTAGAAAATACTGTTTTGTCACGCCTAATATTTTAGCAGTTCACAGTTGCCCCAGAAGGCAAAGGAGCATCCCAGGGCCAGGCAATCAAATCTCGCGAGAGGGCTTCAACTCTGCAGTAGTCTGTGCGACTCTCGTTCTTGCTTCCGCTTGGCGGGGTGGGCTGGTGTCGTCGCCCAGGGCAACGGCGATGGCGGCCAGGGCGGCCGGGCGGCTCTTCTCGCTGGAGCTGCTCGTGGACTGGGTGCGGCTGGAGATCGGGCTGTCACCGAGCGCCGGGGACCCCGCGGTGGCGTTTTGCCTATTGGACTTCCCGCCGCTGCTCGTCCTCCCTCCTGCGGCTTCTAGCCGGGATCCCCAGAGCGGTACCATCGACTTCGGGCGCGGCAAGGCCTGCCTACTACGCCTGCGCCCTGCCGCCCTGCTTCGCCCGCGCCTGCGCGCCGCCCTGCTGCAGCTACCCGAGGGTCCAGCGTCTGCACCGCGCCTGTTGGGGGCTTGCGACATCCTGTTGGTCGCCTCCCAGGGCCGACGGGGTAAATTCATCTTGCGTGGCCCGACGGCCGAGCGCGTCGGGGAATTGGCTCTCTTCTACCGTCTAACCGATCTAGGACGCTTTCCCCCGGGGGCTTCAGAGCTGCAGGGCCCGCTGAGCCCTGCGACTATCACCGGTTCAGAGGCCCTGGAGGTGTGGGAGCCACGTACCAAGGAGACCTCGAAGCCATGCACCAAAGATGCTGCTGTCAGATGCCTACAGTGTGCCTCAGATGCACGCCTCTTGGAGGCCTCAGAGACATGCACCAAGGGTATCAACAGCTGGTCTGCAGGAGATTCAGATCCCTCAGCTGTCCAGAAGTCATGGGAAGAAGCAGTCTTACACAGTAAGGCCAGCTCTGGGGACATGGCTTCTACCCCTTGTCCACCCGCTCCCAGTGGGAGGATTGTCAGCCCCCTCAGCCCAGAGGTCACGGAGCTAGACTTTGAAACCAACATCTTTTGCCCTCCTCCTCTTTATTACACTCACCTGACTGAGGAAAAGGCACCTCCTGCCAGGGTTGAGATCACTATTGAGCCTCAGAGAAATGGACCTGAGGAGTTGGATGGCATTTTCCCCGAAGCAGAACATGTAGATCGTCCCATACATCCGGTGAAACATATAAGATCTGCAACGGGAGAGAGACCTCCAGTACTTCTGAATCCTACACGGATACAAGGTCCAGGTGCAGTTAATGAGGTTGCAAGTACCCCTCAGACTGAACAAAGTACAGCCAATGCAATAAGACAGCTGCCACTGTTGAATGCTTTGTTGATTGAGCTGTCCTTGCTTTGTAACCAGCCTGTGGCAAGCCCCACCCAGGTTCACCCCCACTTAGCCTGGTTGTATACAGGTGAACATAAGGGGGCAGAACCTTCTGTCAAGTCTACATCTCTGTCAGAATCAAAGAGCAACAAAATTTCCGTTCGAGGAAATGAAAAGCTTTTGAGTGTTCAGTCTAAAAAGAACCCTAAAGGTAAACATTCAGAGGTCTGTGGTAGCCCTCCACAGAGGGTTACAAAGGGGAAGCTGCTTTATGGCTTAACAAATACACTAAGACTGCGTTTAAAGCAAACAAACCCGGACATGCTGGCTGTACACGAAAAGAGAGAACAGTATAGAAAATCCCAAATACAAGCTGTGGGACCAAAATTCCAAGCCCCACCATGGAAAGGGAAAGTACCAAGCCTGGCAGCACAGAGCCAGATGCCATCACAGCCCCGCAAGGATACGTTTTCTGACTCAAATGGGTCTTTTGCTGAAGGCAGTGATACTTCAAGGCAAGTCAGTGCATGTCTTGATGAGCCAAGTACAACTAAAGAAACAAAATGGAGCCATGCTATTAAAAAAGAGGCAGTTGAGCATAGTGAAAACAGAACCAGCAACGCTTGGTTGGAAGCAGGTGGGTGTCCTGCAGATTCCATTATTCCAGAGAGATTTCATCATTCAAATACCCTGGGAGGAACTTCAAAAGTGAAGGTCCAGAGCACAGGGCTATCCCGGCAGGATCCTACTGTTAGCAAAACTGTAGATGAGGGGAAAGGTGGAAGGCAGGTGAAAGTCACAGACATTGTGACTGCTGATACAGGTGAAAACAGACCTTCCAGTAGAAACAGTTCCAGTGTGAGCATCTCAGAGCTACAGTACCAGGAGGAGTTCGCCAGCCCTTGCTATTCTGAAGACTTCTGCATGACTGAGAATAACAGCATAAGTCTGTTGGTTCCCAACTCAAGCTCAGGGACAGAAAATTCCCAGCATGGTTCACAAACAAGTGAGGCACGGATGTCCACAAGGAAGAGCAGCAGTGGAGTGAGCCCTGTGCTCAGCCCTCCCTTCTCTGCTGGCTCACCAGTGTGCTCACATAAACGATCTCATGTATTGAAGACTCCTGATAGGATTCTGGAGGACACCTCCAGTAGCTCCACCAGCGACTTTTCATCACAGTGGACAAATGGAAAGGAAAACCTGGCAGATCCACTGAGTACAGGTAGTTCAAAGGTCATAAGGACAGGTCAGGACACCTCCACTAAACTTAAAGTAGGAGCTGGTCGCAAGTCCTCTGAGAAAAGCCAGTCACCAAGGACATCTCAAGTGAGTTCATATGAGCCATCAAATTTGTCTGAGCTAGAACTCAAGGGCTTAGACAACAGTGCATCGGCTGACTTCCAAGAAGAGGATGATGACCTTGGGTCACTGAATATCTCCAAACAGTGCAGAGATATCTGTGAATTAGTAATAAATAAACTTCCAGGATATACCGTGTGAAAGTATGCTGCTTTAGAAAACTAGGTTATGCCTGATGAGTGCTAATGCTGAAGAGATGTAATACTCATACTAAACCTTAGTACATAACGTACTGTAGTTGTTTTAGGAAATTAGATAGTTTGTCATTGATGTTTAGTTACTTTTCCTTCAAGCTGATCATACTCTGAAGTCCCTGTTAAGCTTAGGAATGATTCCTTTATAAATGTTTAAGATTAAAAGTATGTCTGTATATTCTTCAAAAGTATTGTCTTGCAGTATAGATTATTCTAAAGTTGGCATTTCATGCACCATTGTAAAAAGAAGAGCTTGTTAATGAACCCAGCACCAGTTCTTAATGGGAATAAATCTGGTAACAGGTGGATGTGTTAGAGTGTGAGCTGCAGGAAGTGATTTGTGATCTATAGCTGCTAAGAACTTTTGGTTTGCAGACTTTCATAACACCCTGTCCTTTTATTATTTAATCTCTCTTTTATATTACTTCATTAACACTTACTTGAGCTTATGTTCCTTGTTAAGAAATCCTGTCTTGTTTTCCATCCAGTATTACCTTAGGAGATATATATATGAAATTGCCTTGGCAGTTAAAATGCCTACGACAGGCTGTAGCACTTACACTAACAAGAAGCATAGTATATTTTACTTCTGGTGGACATAAACAACCTTCAAGTATATGAAAGCATTTAGAGAGAGCAAAGTAAGGCTTCATCCCATATAGTTTCGTGAAGAGGAGTTTAATTTATGTCATGTTTTCAGGTTGTTTAATGGGAAAACGGGTTCTCATATACCCTAGTCATCAGTTCTGTACAATGTCTTTCATTGTGTTCAAATATTTGTAGGCATTTTCTTATAGCCCTGTTACACTGTAACTTTTAGACTTTTTAATGTAGTTGATGTTTCGGAGCCTGTGAGACAAAGCCCTGATTTTTGCTTTATTACATAAATTATTATAAACAATTCCATAATCGTGTGGGCATGTTCTGAGTGATTATGATAGTAGGTAAGATTTACAGCAATGATGAGAAGAGGCCATCCTCCCTCGGGGATCACTGTGAATAAAAGAGCAATGATGGGAATGAGCTTGGCTTTCCTGGGAGAGAGAGTGGCATCTTGATGATAATGTTATTTATGTTCATGTTACAGTGCTATAAGGGAAAAAGTTTCAGATCGTAGAGACACTCAAAGTCCAAGTGATGGGAGATTGGAACAGTACAGCAATGGGTTGAGTGAACACCAGTAAACAGTCATGGCCTTTGAGTATTGTAAAATACTGGCAATAATTACTCAGAGGTACAGAAATTAAGTGTGGAAATGGAAAAGGACTTTATGTGTACAGACAGATTTCTCCTTGGCTGTAAATGGAAAATGCATGTTGTCTTTTGAATTTGCAAGACATAGATAGCTTGGTACTCCATCATGAACTATGCAAATTGTTTAATGGCAGTTTCTCAAATGGAAGAGTCAAAAATATAAGTGCTAGAAGAACTAAGGGAGATGCTCTTACCATGTATTTAAGTCACCTATTACAGCCTGCCCTCCAATTTGGCCTTGTGTTTTAATTCTTTAAGCCTTTGGCTTAGTTTTTAAATACTTTCGTAGTTGGTATTACTTACGTAGATTGATTTTTATCCTGCATGATTAAAATTACTGAAACATGAAATCCAGTTTTAGGGTCACAAATAGGGAGGCTCTGTCATTTCACAGTAAAGCGGAACCCTTACAGTCTCACTTTTCAAATGGGCTGGTTAGCAGAACTGCCGACAGGTGAATGCGCCAGGATCTAAAGCAGCACTGAGCATGCTGAGCATGCACCCTGTGCTTTGGACATGCCAGGCAAGTGCTCTATCTCTGAGCTGCACATTCAGCCCTTGGGACAAGGCTTGAGAAGCAAAGTGAGCTGCAAAAATAGTGTTAGTCCTGGCTCTGTTTGCAGCTTAGGAGGCAGCTGTCAGTATTAAGTCCTTTAAACTGTTGCTATAGACTTACAGAGTCTGGACAGAGACACACCGCATGTCTCCCCTAGTTCAGATGCCCATTGGTGATGACTTCTTCAGATAGGAAGAACATATGTCATGAACTTCTGTCATTCACTGTGGCCCCCTATTGAGAGCCACCCCATCACATCTTGATTGGTGGTTTTTCTTCATTTACAAGAGTGAATTGTTACAGAATTAGACTTAGGGACAAGACTTGTGTTTGCAACAATCATTCAGGTGAGGACTAGAAATTTAAAATGACTTTTTAATTATCACATTTTTATTGGCAAGGTGAAGAAATGTCATAACAAAGCAACATAAACAAGATCGACAGTGTTTAAAATATGTTGAGTTAAACTGTCCTTGGTGCCAAAGAGCAGCCATTGGGGCTGTTTATGTTTTCATTTGCATTACAGTATGCAGCGGTATGCATAATGGCACTCTGTGAGCTAAGACTTGTGAGATGTGTTTCATTTTAACACAAAACAATTCACTGATAAGTCACTTGGTCAAGGACCAATATTCTCTCTGCCTGACTACCTGCCTGTCTGTGCCAGGCATAAACACTTTGGGAGGAGTGCCATTGGGCTGCAGTGCCAAGCCTCAAGTGGGAGACATGTCCTTGTTCTTTAAACAGTACTTAAGCCTATCATAATACACATCCATTGTAGAAAAAAAAACAAAATCAGGAAACTCAGAGAAGAGTTTTTCTCTCATTGTGGAGGAAAAGGTATATATAGGCGCTTCCTCAAATTCCATTGAACTAGCAGAAGTGTGAAATTAAGAATTAACCCAGAGAGGCCCAGAAAATTAAGGAAAATAACGGGCTGGGGGTGTAGCTGCTCAGTGGTAAACTGTCTGCCTAGCATATGCATGAAGACCAGGCTTAGTTCAGAGTGCTGAATAAGGTCATGTTTGGGTCAGTGAGATGGCTGGCTCAGTGGATAAAGGCACTTGCTGACAAACCTGACTACTGGAGTTTGACCCTGGGAGCCACATGGCAGGAGAAGAAGATCCCCAAAAGTTGTCCTCTGACCTCCACACATATACTTGATGTGTCCATTCCTCCTCAAACCCACTCTCACAAACTCAGTAATTGTTTTTAAAGGAAGATAACAGATACAGACCATTTAGGAACATCTAGAATGTACAGAGCAGATAGGAGCAAGCTGGGGAGAACAGGTTAGAAATCCACTTGATCTGACAAGGATGACACCGGGGAAGTAAGAAGCAGTGCTTTCTAAAGGCACAGAGGGACGCCAGTGCTATGAAACAGTCCTTGTCCACATTAGCAATATGAATTATTCTCACTGGTAGCTGGGCAGGAAGTTAGGCGGGATAATGGGAAGAAGGAGAGCAGAGTCAGGAGAGATGCCAGCCAGCCTCCCAGGAAGCAAGACATTGCTGGAGGACAAGTAAAGGCACGAGTCACATGGCAAAATGCAGGTTAAGTTGTAAGAACTAGTTAGTAATAAGCTGAGTGATTGGCTGAGCATTTATAATTTATATTCAGCCTCTGCGACAGGACTGGTTGGTCAGGACAGGAAACAGGTCTATTTACATGTGAGGCCCCATCAATGGGGTTAGGGAGCAGGGCTGGGACACAGGACAGGTGGGGGCAGATGCAAAACATGAGTACTACAGAAAAGGTGGGCCTGGACAATTGTTAACCTGCTAGAAAACACGTGGGGACTTAAGGGGATTCACTCCCTTGTGCTTTTGATAATGAAGCGAATATCAAAGGTGTAGCTAGGCTTATTGGGTAAGGCCTGGTGGCAAATCAAAATGGCATGAGACTGGTCTTCGGGGATAGCTGAACCCTGGAGTACAGCCCAAGGAGGGCAGGGTGTGTCTAGTTTTGGTACGAGGTCCCTACAGGGGAGCAGTGTCAGTTGTAGTCACCCAGCAAGAGGAAGCTAGTTTTTGTACAAACTGGCCAATGGTTCGTAAACGCTCTTAACAGAGGGGGCTTTGCCATTCCTCCAAGCCTCACCTGGAGGAACTTTGGCAGTCCCTATGGGTTTGAGGTACTGGTATCCTTGTGCTATGCCGGTGTTAATAATACATGTTCAGTCAGGGCTTCCTTGACACTCACGGCTGAATGGAGGGTGCAGAGTTGATTATATATCATATTACTGGCAAATCTGGCATCTAAAACATACTCAGGGTGTCTCATGGCAGCTGTTTGTTGGTTGGGCTAGTGTGATGTTCATGGAGCATTTCAGTTCCAAAGGTGAGTTAATAAATAGCACAAACATTTATTAATCATCTGTGTTTATTATTTTGGTTATGGTAGCTTCTAAGGAGTTTTGAAAATATTTTTACCTTTAACTGTGTGTGTGTGTGTGTGTGTGTGTGTGTGTGTGCACCTGTATGTGATGCGCACATGAGTACAGGTGCCTACAGAGGCCAGTATAAGGCATAGGATTGGTCCCCTAAAGTTGGAGTTCCAGACAGCTATGAGCTGCCTGACATGAGCGGTAAGAACAGAACTTGGGTTATCTGCAAGAGGAGTAGTGCTCTTAGCCACTGAGCTATCTCTCCAGCCTCAGGATTTTTTTTTTTTTAAAAGGACGACTCCCTGCAAAATGTAGCCTTGCCCTGGTGTCAGGCTGTATGATAATGCTACAACTATAGCATGTTGTGTAGTCTGGGGGGACATGAATGAGTAACCACCAAATTGACTCATTTTACTCTTTGGGGGCACAAATATAATGATTGCCCTTCACTTTTCAGTAGTCTGCTATAGCTCCAGGAGGTTAGCCCTGTTAACTGGAACCCCAGCATTAAAGTGAACCCAAAGATTCCAAATAGTCCATCATCCTAAGATGCTTTCTTGGCTTTACCCGAGTGATTTCTCCTGCCTACCAATACCAGGTCACATCACCTGCCACCAGTTGTCTTGGTTGTCAACTTCTGTGGCTTCTATAGTCATGACATTTGAAAAGATGGGCCACCTCTGTGGTCATAATTCCCAGGGAAGTCACACGGTTTGGGATTTTGTGAGTTCACAGTCACAGGCCCTTCTCTGCAAAGGTCTCCGCTTCACATTTTGATGGTTAAGTGGAGAGTAATTTCCCCCTTGTATTCAATAGGACACAGACCCTTCAGGCATTATTTATGTTTTCTGTGTTTGTTGACAGAATTGGGTAGAGACTAAAGCAATATCTGCTTGTGTTTCACAATTGGGCTGTTCATACTTGGTCCACTTTGCTGCTTAGCTGAGAGCTACTGGGTCATCTATAGGTTTGAAAGGACAATGCAGAAGTGATCCAGGATAGCAGCTTCCTTGATCTCCCAAGGAATGAGCAGAGACCAACACTTGTTTGGCTTCCTCTTCAGGTCCCCCAGACATCACCTACTCTGAATTTCCTCCAGGATGTTATGTAATCTGACTTTCCCAGAAGGACCTACTTTCTGGAAGATGTCCTGGCAGACACCTGTGCTGACATATGGCATCTCTTCTGAAGTACCAGATGACAGGGACACTTTGATCCATATTGCTTTAAATAGTGTGGCGATAGACCTCCTTTAGCACTGTGGATCTCAAGGAAGAGCGGTCTACATGGAGAACACTCACACCTGGATTTAACCTTCAGCATTCTCCTAGGCAGCTGCTTTTTTAATGTGCATTTTAAAGAACAGGAGTATAGAGGAACATTCCCAGAGCACAGACCCGTGTGGACCCCGTGAACCCAGCCACTTGATTTTATCTCAGGTGTAATATCTCAGGTGTTCAGGAGAATAACACCACAAACTCCTGTATGTGCATCACCAGGTTTGACTCTGTACGTGAGTGCTTGCCTCCATCTTCCTTACTCTAAAAAAACAGACACCAAACAGTACCCCCTTCTTGTCCCTTTTCTCCCCTTTTCAGTGAGTAGCCATTTCTCTGGGATTGTATCTCCTCCCCACTTCCACAGGACACATTTCTGGACTCTCTGATTACAAGCAATGCTTCAGTCCCTCCTCTTGTCCCTCACAAACATGTACATGACTTCTCTAGGGTCAAAATCTTAAAGTGAACAATCTTCCACAGTTCCAGGATGCTCTCCAGTGTGTAAGCTCCCATTCCTTCTCATCTCAGTCCAAATAGTCTGCTGTGATATTAACAACCTGAGGC